GGGTTTGAACTGCCAGCCTACTGGTTAGCAGTCAAGTGTTTTAGCCACTATGCTACCAGAGCTCCTATTAGGGGAATTTAAAAGAGGGAGCTATGTGTCTAATTGGGGTGATCAAGTAAGCTACATGGTAGAAGATATATTTGAGAGGGCAGCAAAGGATGGACGGGATTTGGAATTCTAGGGGAACATAATAACTATCAGTTTTTGAGCACCTGCTATATGTCAGGCATTGTGCTAGAGATCCTCTCCATATTTTCTAAACTTTACAGCAACGTTTCTAGTTAGGTGCTTCTTAACTATATTTTAAGATGAGGTAATGAGACTCAGAAAAACTTACTGATTTCCCTAGGGTCTCACAACTAATTATTGGCGATATTTGAAATTTGAACCTAAGTGTGACTCTGAAATCTGGATGATTTCCATTTATGCTGTACAACCTCTCATGGGCAAGGGCACACAGGTTGAAAGGTGCTAATGTATTTATAGAACAACAAATAGATTGCTTTAGCTGAAACAGAAGAAGTAGTAGTGGGTGGTAAGCCTTAAAGCTAAGGATTTTGAACTAGGCAGGCAGTAAGGAACAGTGATTAGGTATGTGTGTTCTGGAGTCACACTGCCTAGGTTTGATTTTAAGCTCTGCTACTTGCTTGTTATTAGCTGTCATCAAGTTGGCCCCTGACTCATGCCAACCCCATGCACAGTGGAACAAACACTGCCTGGTCCTGTGCCATCCCCATAATTGGTTGTGGATTGGACTGTTGTGATACATACAGTTGTCATTGGCTCATTTTCAGAAGTAGATTGCCAGGCCTTTCTTCCTAGTCTGTCTTAGTCTGGAAGCTCCACTGAAACCTGTTCAGTCTCATAGCAATATGCAAGCCTCCACGGATAGAGGGGTGATGGCTGTGCATTGGCCAAGAATTGAACCTGGTTTCCTAATGGAAGGCAAAAATTCTACCACTGAACTTCCAGTGCCCTCCATTCTGCCACTTACTAGCTGTGGGATATTGGGGAAATTACAGAAACCACCCTGCCTCAATTCTCGCATATGTAAAGTGGAAATACAGAAATACTTAGCTCATAGGGTTGTTAGGTGGATTAAGTGAGCTCACACTTGTAAAACACTTAGTAGAGTGCCTGGTACATAAATAAATAATCATGCAATAAGGGTTATTATTATTATTAACTACTGTATTGGGAGGAAACAAGCAGCTAGTAGAAATTTTTAAGAGAGCAGAGTTTAAAATCCTGAATTTGGCAACATAATGGAGGATGAGGTACAGTGGAGAAAGTCTGGGATCTAGGAGACCACTCAAGGTGTTTCAGCAGTTCTGGGAAGAAGTGATAGGAAAATGGCCTAGAGCAATGGTGTGAGACATGAGGAAAGGGCAGAATTCTTGAGGGTTTGTAGTGCTAGGGAGAATGTATCTTAGATCAGTGCATCTCAAGCTTTAATGTGCATGGGAATCCCCTAGGGAATCTTGTTAAAATGTAAATTCTGATTTAGTAGGTCTGGGATGGGGCCTAGCAGCTCTGATGGTGCAACGGTTAAAGCATTTGACTGCTAACAGGTTGGCAGTTCAAACCCATCAGCCACTCTGTGGAAGGAAGATGGGGCATCTACGTCTATAAAGATTTACCACCTTGGAAACTCATTGTGGGTCCCTATGAGTTGGAATTGACTCAAGGGCAGTGGGTTTGGTTTGGTTTAATATTCCATTATATGTATGTACCACATTTTACTTATTCATTCTTCTGCTGATGACCACTTAGGTGTTTTCCATCATTTTTCTATTGAGAATTATGCTGCGATGAACATAGTTGTGCATATGTCTGTTCATGTCACTGCTATTAGATCCCTAGGCTATATACCTAGAAGTGGAATTGCTGGGTCACATGGCAGCTCTACCTCTAGTTTTTTTTTAGGAACTGCAAGACTGTTTTCCACAATGGCTGTACCATTTTACATTTTCACTTATAATGGAGGAGGGTTCCAATTTCCCCACATCCTCTCTGACAGTTATTTTCCTTTTTTAAATCTTGGTCATCCTTGTGGGAATGAAATGGTATCTCACTGTCATTTTGATATGCATTCCTTTGATGGGTAATGAGGTTGAACATCTTTTTATGTGTCTGCCATTTAAATATCCTCTTTGGTGAAGTGTCTGTTCATGTTTTTTGTTCCATTTTTGATTGAATTATTTTCTTTTTATTATTGAGTTGTAGAAGTTTTCGGGAGCTCTGGTAGCATAGTG